TGAGTGCACATTGAATACAACATTGAGGGATCAAAGAGATGGTTGTATCATAGCATGAATGAAAGAATGAAGGAGGACTGAATGGCAAAATTTGGCTGCTTGGGGTAGAATTTGACCCATCTGAGCCAGCACAGCAGGGTATAGATTCCCATCCACTGTGAAGCTAAAGGAGTGAAGATCAAAGAACGTGACCTCTCTGGACATCCCCAGTTTTGTAGAATAGCCTATGTCACGAAGAAAAGATGTTTCTTTCCCAGTTGACTTTAGGAGGGAACTTAAAACAATTCTCCACCAGGTTTTGGGAACTGAACCTAATGGGGTTGCTGTTCTTATATTTGATTGGTTGGGATTCTTCATTTTATTTACTTATTTTACTGCAATTGTTTGCTTTGGGGTTTTATTTGTTTTTGACACTATATTCTACCACCATCCTCAACTAAGAGGTCCTTCATTCCCAATCTCATGCAGAACATTCTGTCCAGGAGTTTAACTAACAGAACAACATTGGCTCCAGATTGCTTTGCCATGGAAAAAAGGTAATTCTCACCTTTCCAAAGCAATAGTTATTTGGAACGATGGCAACTTAAGGATCACCACCAATTAAATGATTCCTTCAAGATTTATCCCAGAGGAAGATGGATCCAAGAAAGGTTTATTCACATTTTGCTTATTAATGAAATTTAGCTTTTGACATCAGAGTGCTGCTAATGATATGGGAAACATTGCTAGACAGAGATCAAAGTACTTAAACTTAAACCTCAGTTTCTTTCTTCTGCCAATCAGTTCAGCAGAACTGACTCCACACATGGAGGGAGATGATCTTTCCATAATAAGCCATAATAAGGATTTCAGTTTAATTTTCCAGCGACGTTCCTTTCCTGTCTTCCTTAAACTCCTCTTCTTCCCAGAAGGATATTTTCAATTATTTTGGGCATTTTACTCCCACAATCCAGATTCATGTCACCATGCTTTAGTCCTGACAATAAATCAGTTTAGCAGTGGCAGGAATGAAGAAGGTTTTGTATGTCAAAAACAGTAAGATGAACTTAAAGAAAACTCTTTTAAGGAGGCACTTCCTCTGCAATACGCCTTAGCTTGAGTGAGGAAAGCTGATTTTTAGAGTGTGATAAGTATATAATCCCTAGGGTCCTAGAGGAAAAAAGATTCTATTTATAGGATTTCAGTTCTTGTATCAAGAATCACAGCTAAGGCATTTCCACGTCTTTCCCCATTATTACACAGGCTGTTTCTTCTCCTGTAAGTCCTACAGTTTTATTCTTTTCTTTTGCCTGTAAGATAAACTTGAAAAGTTGTTATCACTTCCATATTATAGTCAGCTCAGAACCCAACACTGGTAAACCAAGAGACTGGTGCTGGACTGTGAACCTCCAGGATGCCTTCATGTTCATGCACAACCCTTGTTTTGCAAATGTGTTCTGGAGCCCAGGTCAGATTTAGCTTCCACAGCAGTTTTCTCCATCTGCTTGGATGGAGGTTGATACTCAGATGTATCAGGGCCAACAAAACTGTGCCAATGGGCTCCAAGGTACGGGTGATGGCTCATTGGGAATCCATAGGACCCCCAAATTAAATATATTTTTAAAAAATCTATGAGAAATGGCCCAAATCTCATGAGATTGCCAAGTGTCCCAAGGGTTCAGGTGAAAACATCAACATCACCTATGATCTCAGGCAAGAACATTTTAAAAAGTTTTGGCAACAGGAAGTGTTGTCCTAATTTTCAGGCTGAGTGTCAGCCTTACCTGGTAGACCAGACAGGAAATACAACCAGGTGAGCTAATTCTATTTTATTGTAAGGCTACCTTAACAGAATCTTGCAAGTCTGAAAGTACAATTCTCCTGCCTTCACCTTTACAGCCTGAAAACTTAGGGAGGGTCCCTCCTGAGCCTCTTGCTCC